GGCGGCTTTGGCGGCGGCGGAGGGTTTGAGCGCGCGCCACGCGACGACAGCAACACGGTGTTCGTGAAGAACTTCGACCGCTACCAGGACGAGGACACGGTGAGCCGCGCACGGGTGGGGAAGCCCTGACACGCCAAGGGGGGTTTAGGCAGCAGGGATGAAAGGGAGCAGTGAACGGGAACGGGGATAGGCGGTGGGAGGGAGGGGGTGTAGGCAGTGCAGGTGCATGGTAGTAGCCGCTTGAAGGACCACTTGTAAGCACTGGCATCCCACTTGCGCCATAGCATGTCGTGCCACAGCCTTATCGCACACGCATACCCGCTGCTACTTATCAAGAGTTCCAAGAATGTCTCAAGCACACCTGACTCACTCGCACACGTTTCTCTGCTGCTACCCTGTGCTGTCCCCCTGGCATCAGATCCGTGGGCAGCTGTCGGAGGTGTTTGGTGACTGTGGCAACGTGGTGGGCGTGCGCATCCCCACTGACCGCGAGACCGGTGGCATCAAGGGGTCAGTGCCCAACAAAATCGCTCAAGGATTTTTTTACCTGGCCAGTTCATGAGTCAACAAAGCTTGTGTTTTTGCCTCTGCTGTGTGCCTACCATCCCTCCTTCGCTCATGTGTGTTTCCCTGTCCCTCCCTCTCGCGTTCCCTCTCGCCCATGCAGCTTCGCGTTTGTGCAGTTTGACTCGGCAGAGGCGGTGGCCAAGGCGGGCGAGCTGAACGGCACGGACTGCGGAGGCCGCTCGCTCGTGGTGGATTCTTCTGCTGGTGGCGGCGGTGGTGGCGGTGGCAGGGGCGGCGGTGACCGGGGAGGGTTCAGGGGCCGGGGCGACCGGGGCGGTGGCTTCAGAGGAGGCCGGGGCGGCGACAGGGGAGGGTTCCGCGGCAGGGGTGGTGACCGGGGAGGTGAGTTTTGGGGCGGGTGTTGGACGAGTGGTTTGTGGCTTGGTTGGTGCATGCATGTCATCTCTTGTCTGTTCACCTGTCATCACGATGGGGTGTTTTGCAGAATACGCGGTTAGGTGAATTAGTATGGTTTGTTCTCACCTCTGTGTATGCATTTCCCTGTCTGCTTGTCTGGTATGTGTATAGGTCGTGGTGGTCGTGGCCCGCCACGTGCCAAGATCAACCTTGCTGCACCAGGCACAGGTATGAATTCGCTTCTTGCTGCTGCATGTGCTCGCACACTGCTTCCTGGTTGCATTGTTGTATGCCCAGTATCCATGTTGCTGCTTTCCCTATTCCCTATGTGGCCCTTCCTGCCTTGCTGTTCCAGTATCTATGCCCTAGGGTTAGGGTTTGTGTCACCTTGTAAAAGCTCCTTTCCTCTTCTGTGCATGTTTGTGTCAGGCAAGAAGACCACTTTTGATGACTGAGCTCCGTGCTGGCCGCCCTTGGTTCTAGCGGATGCTTCTTATTCGGGGATCGTGCTGATGCCCGCTGCTGTGTGCAGCATGCATTTGAGACCCCTGCCCAAGCTCCACTGGCACTTGTGCCTTTCCCCTTGCTGATTCCTATGCTACAGCTCTAGTTTCTCTATGAAGTAGGTGTGGATGATTACTGGTTGACCTGCTTGTGTTCTTGTAACCCTTTTTAGTCTTCCTTTTTGAAATGGCTAAGTTAGAAATCGTAATTGGTGCCAGCACTTTGTGCTGGTTATGCCTCAGTTTTTGCTACTTGTGCCAACTTGAGCTCATGATAGTAGGGTGCACATACTAAATCTCAAAGTAATTTTGAATGTTTCTGTTTCTGGTCCTGGCCCTGGAAGGTTTTGGGTGATGTGGTCAAAAACATTAAGGCACATTAAGATATATGTTGAAGTTCCATTAGAAGTTAGAACAGAGAAGCCATGCCCTGTTGACTGACCTAGAAATATATTTAGACGTTGTTCAGCAGCCTCTGTCTTCACCTGTTAGGAATACGGCTCCATAAAGGCGAACAAACATACGGCATCCATTCATGACTTTATTATTATTATTAAACTCTAATCAATTTTTTTTTCTGTTGCTAATGGGTGGTGAGTATGGTGAAGTGGATTGAGATGCTAAGTATATTTCAGCTGTCAATAGGTATTTCAAGAAAGGTTTTTCTGAACCCTTCAATCGTCGTTAGCGGTGGAGGATTTATTCGATCAGGTCAGGTTCCATCTGTGGCGAGCATTTCATAGTCTTTCCCTGCCACGTATGTCGAGTTTTCCATGTCAGTGTTCCTCCCCCACAAGACTGCACGACGAGTCCCGCTCAATCCCTTACGCGATGGATGAGACACTTGGCGTTGTCAACATTCGTCTGGCAGCCCTTTCGTGCGCCGTGAGCGAATGAAAATCCGCGATTTCCGAGCTCGTTGGAGGGAGGTTTGGTATCCAAGAGACTGGGCGAGATGGTCGCGAAATCAATCGAAATTTCGCATCGAGGAGGGAAATTCTTCAGGAGCGGGTGGTTTTCAATAAAAATATTCTGTTACGTGGCACCACGCCTATCGGCGGTCAGAAGGACGCCAGGAAGCTGTGGGACCTGCGGCTGGAGGATCTGTTCACAAGCAGTGAAGCAGGTGTGCTTGAGCAGAAATCTGTGGCAGAACTATCGGAGCTTCTGGGCAGCAATGGTCCGGCGAAGCTAGCGCTGAAGGCAGTTGGCTCTCTACCTGCCTGGTGGTACAGAGAGTTAGGGTTTCCAACTGTCCTCCCCTGCTCGGCTGCCTCTCCTCAGCTGCTGAACGTTCTGGTGGATGGGGGCATCATCCCCATGAAGCGGATGAAAGAAGGGTGGAAGGAGGCTCAGAAGGAGTCATACAAGCGCGCCAAGTGGGCGGCACGATGGGGCGAGAGCATCAACTGGAAGAAGGTGTGAGCACGCTCGACTCTTTGGCGGTTCCCAGCCGTCCGCGTGATGTGCTCACACGCATCCACGGCTTGAATCTGCAGGTGGGAGAGCGTCTGGCTTTCCTCAGCAGCAAGCCGGTTTGCCCGTACTGCGGAGAACCGGAGACTTTGGAGCATTGCCTGGTCCTCTGCCCCAGAGTTCAAGTGGTTTCCACAGCTCTTCGGCGCGCTCTGGGCATGTTAAATCCTGGCCGCACAGCTGACTCGCTGGGGGCTCTTCTGTTTCGGGATACCGGCACCAGCTCAGCTTTTCCGGAGATGACGCTAACATCAATTGCTTTGCACCAATTGTGGCTCGAGCGGTGCGAAGCTGTCTTCAGAGGGCAGAAAATTCCGGTCCCAACGGGTCCTACGTCGGATTGAGGTGGCTTTTCGGCAGCACGTAAAACTGTACACTCACAAGTTCGGGCCGACGTGGCGAAAACAGAGGCAGCGAGGTTCATCGGAGGAGTGGAACATGCTTGATAGGATCAGAGTGGATGGCAAAGGTCTGAAGTGGACGAATGGTTTTGCAGCAATCTGGTCGGCAAGGAGGGTCAGGAGCATCAGACCCTAGAATCTTTTCTGGAGCAAGAGGTCCCCTCTAGTTCCTCACGCACGGTTACGCCCGTTCTTGTCAGTGTATGCTTGTCTTGTCGGTGTATACTTACAATTATCATAAAAAAAAAAAAAACACGAAATTTCGCATCACCAAATGCCAGTTCGCAACCAGCTGGCGTGAAATGCGGAGAGTGTTTCTTCAACCAGCGACCATCAATTCCACCTCAACATTGGCTTGGCGAAGCCGCGGGTTCTTCCGTGGCGCGGATGTTTGCGTGCTTTGAACATGGGTCGTGAGTGATGTGTTGGCGCAGCTGGCAAAGAGGGGCGAATTACGTGTTGATGGACCACCCAAAATTAAAACCATCTGTTGGATGAGGGAAGCAAAGTGAGATGGTCAAGCGACATTACGGTAGGGAAGGAAGGCTTCCTCAAAACAACCGACCAAACCAGTCAAGCTCCACCCAACCGCAGTCTCACCAAAATTTGGAAGTGCTGAGTCCATAAAATGTATTTGCGCCCCTTCCATACTTACTGCCAGTCGTCCGTAGATACAGTTACGTCAATACCTAATCTTCTCTGGTGGTAAGGTAAGGTAGATCGTTCCGGGTAGTATGGCCGACAGTTTCAGCGGTCACCAAGGTTCCATGGAACGCAGTACGCAATAGCTAGTCATTCGAGAGAAACAGCCAAGCTTGTTGAAGCCTTGCCTCTCGTGGAGCTGTCCTGTTTTCTGTCTCCTGTCAATATCGTACGATAGTAACTTAGGTGCCCGCTGCAGTTAGGTATCACTACGTCTAAGGCAGGTCAGGTGCACCGACGGCAGTCACAAGGTTTAGAAATGGCAGGTAAACTGGTCAGCCATGCTCACCGTCAGTTAGATCGTCAGCGCGCACATCTCTGGTCGCCGCCACGTCGCAGCAGCATCTCTTCGCAGTCCATCTTCTCAGTCGCCTTGTTCATCCTCGTAGCTTTCTCGATCAGCCAGCGCTGTGTCACAAGTCAGCGATTAGCGCCAAGTGCCTCCAGCAGCCTTCCCATACCGGGAACGTCACTATCGGAAAATGCTCGCTCGAGTAGCTTGCAATCAGAAGTCACCCACAGAGGCCGTGAACTCGGCTACATGTGGCCGTTTAGTTTCCTCAGCAGCACAAATAGCGCTCAGGACACGTCGCAGTCGAGCCGCAAAAGGTATATCCAGCGTTGCGATACGCGCACTGGAGCGGGATGCACGCCAGGGGACCACCACTACGTGGACCCGCGATTCGGCAACATGCAAAGCAAAAACAAATCGACCGCCGACTCGGGTTGGTTTCACACAGCAGAAGCAGAAGCAGCGGGTACGCCGGGGACCCGATCCGTGTCACGCGCTCAGACGATCGACTCGCTGGTCGTATCGTCCTACTCGGCGCGCAGCATCGCCCAGCTACAGACGCTGATACGCGCGTCCACAGCATCGCTGCAGCTTGCGCTACAAAGAGTGCCATCCGTCGTTCCCTTCTGCAGACAGCCACTGACGGAAGCAATCCGCCGCAGCAAGCTAGTATCTGACCAGCTTTCCCGCAGAGCCATAGTTATGGCGCGGAAAGAGGTTGCGCAGGTGGCACGGGCCGTCGCGATTTGCCAGAGCAGACTCGGCGTGACGATGCGCAACAAGAAGAGCACCAGCACGAGCGAACGCGAGGCTTACACGGTGGGCTTTCGCGAGCTGGAAAACACGATGATTAGACTCAGTGGCGTGGGCACGGTGCTGCAGAAGCAGATCGCCGCCGACATGCAGAGCGGGAAGCTAACCGTCACGGCCGTCGGATCAATGTCCGATCGAACGGTGGATCTGTTCCCTGACTATGGCGCGGACCTGATGCGGCAGCTGCCCGGGAGCGTGACGACGCTCACGTTCAACGGCACGCTGGGGGCGCGAATTCACTCGGCGTTCACGTACCCGTCGGGCGTGTTCACGGCGAAGCTCATGTGCGCCAAGGGCGACACGCGCGGACTCGACACTACATTCTACGTAAGTCACGATACGAACACAGCCCCATTGGTCTGGCCTCGCACCGCGCACATGGGCTGCTTACATAGTGGACCCCGCTCCCACGCCTTTGTCAATTCTCCTCTCGTGCTTTTTGTCACCACCCAATCTCTTTTTCGTGTTTCCCTTCCCGTGTGCTTTCCTGCCCTCTTCCGCCCGATACAGTTATCCTCGATAGAAGGCGGCCCTGGAACGGACTCGATACTGATGAGCATATTTGGAAACGACCGCACGCGCGTGCGGTGCATGACGCTGGTGGACGGCGAGACGGGGCTGACGCACGAGGTGGAGGTGGGGAACGACTGCGCCGCTGGTTACCACACCATCAGCATCATGTGGTCGGGCCGCCTCATTGTGTAAGTCGCACGTGCGCGTCGGGGGGTTATGGGCACGCGGTCGGGGACCGAGGACGGAGGCGGAGAGAGGGGAAAGGAACGGAAATGCGATGGCGGGTGGGAAGCGGAGTGCTTCGTGTTGGCATTGTCCGCGTTGTGCTTCATTCCATCTTGCTAGCGTGTCACATTCACTTATCCCAAAATTCTTTTCCATTTCTCCCGCTCCTCGTTCCTCTGGGCAGCTGGAAGTACGACGATTTGATCCTGCGCGTGTCGTCGCGCAACATGCTGTCGCCCTTCCCCGTGTCCACCACCATGTACCTCTACGCGTCCATCTACGACACCGCCAAATACTCGTACGCCTGGCAGGCCGGCTACCTCACCAACGCCGACGCGCCCTACGTAGTCTCTTATAAAGACACCTCCGCCGTTGTCCCCGCGCCGTCATACAACTTCGGCCTTCCGCTAGACCTGGCGAACGGCGCCTCGGTTCCCGGGTCGGCAATTGGGCGCGGGCCGCTGTGGCCCGTTGCGATAGACTACTGCTCGGACCACGTGGTGACTCTAAAGGGGTATCAGAGTATCACGTTCGACGACAAGGGGTGCGGCGGGCGGTTCCATTCGACGGTGCGGCACTACTCGGGGGTGTTCACGGCGTTCGTGCAGTGCCCCGCGGGGAACACGTCTGGCCTCGTATCGGCGTTCTACGTGAGTTGTTTTACTGAAGCCCGTCATCTTGGTTATTCTTTCACTGCTTCGCCCATGCTTGTTGTGCAAAAGATTGAGGAAGGGAGAGTACGTGTGCAGTCCCATGAAGCGCAGTCGCCCACACAGTAACAGCAAAGCCTGTGCATCCCACCGAGTTTCCCACCCGCCTGGCTTTCCAATCCCGTACGTGCAGCTCTCATCGGAGGAGGGCAACAAGGAGCAGGACGAGATCGACTTCGAGTGGCTGGGCAAGGACAAGACCGCCGTGCAGACCAACTTCTACGTCAATGGCAAGGGCGGCCGCGAGGTGCTCGTGCCACTTGGCTTTGACTGCTCCAAGGGGTTCCACAACTACACGCTCCTGTGGACCACCGACCGCCTGCAGTGAGTAGTGCTGCGACTAGCGCGTGCTCTTTGCTCCAGCATTTTTGCTCTGTGCGCCGCACTTTTCGCGCACGCCCTCCCCGCTCCTCCCGTGCTCTGTGGGTGGGGTCCCGTTTCCCGTTTTACTGTTCTCCCCGCCGTCTCACACCGTCTCTCTGTCTCGTGTGTTGTTGTCCTTGTGCCTCGTCTCAGGTGGTTCATTGACAACAAGATGGTGCGCGATGTGCAGCGCGCGCAGGCGGACGCGTGGCCTGTGAAGCCCATGTTCACGTACGCGTCCATGTGGAACGCGTCGAGCATCTCGAATGGCTGGTGGAGCGGCACGTGGAGCGGCAAGGACATCCCTTACGTGATGAAGTTTAAAGACATCAAAATTGGAAACGCGTGATTGTCATTATCGGCGGGTACATTCCGTTGTTCATGGGTGGTTGCAGCATGCTACCTGTGTGTGCGTCTAACCTAGTAACACGGCCCGGAGTCTTCCGTGGGTCCAGGCTACTAGATACTATCTGATGCTGCATGCGTGTGTGACTGGGCACTCGTATCCAGATGCAGGGGACAGATACCCGCCATCCAAGGAAGGTGCATGGCGCCCTCTACTTTGCCTCTCCAGCTCGAGCCTCTTGAGATAAGAGCAGCACAGCAGCAGCAGACCCCCCCTTCAAGGCAGCAGAGCAGCTGCAGGCTAACATGGATAACCGGACGCGATATGAATCGAAGACACTCACTCGCACGCCTGGCAATAAGGCCCGGAGCAGGTCAGTATTGGCCCTTACACAATATTATAGTTTGAACACATACTATTGGATTGTTTTAAATTAGCTATTATATGTAGGTATATCTCTCTACAATGTAAGGTATGTGTGATGTGAGCCTAATGTTTTGAGGGTAAGATGCAGAAATTCTAGGGTTGCGGCGCTCCATTGTGGCAGATTAGCTGTTCTGTTCGGTACACATTCTTGATGGTCATCTGCAAGTGTAGAACTGTGAAGATGTTTCTGCTTCATCAATTAAACGCACAATACAGCTTGAAAAGTTCACAAAAGTGAAGGAACGCATCCTCACCGGCAGACTGTTGCTCAGGAAATTCGAGAACCGGGAGCTTTATAATGAGGACATTCGAATGAAGATAGGGCTCTGGTGATATCGTTTCGGCGCTGTGTACCAATATAATGAGATTGGCCCATTATATTGCGGTGTACATTGGCCCACACCGCAATGTACACCAGAGATTGGCTGGTGTACATTGCGGCGCTGTGCAGCGCACTCTTCCCCGCGCAGCACTGGGCGCTTCGCCCGCGCGCCATTCCTGCACAGAACCTGCCATTCCCCGGCTAGTGTTTGCGGAAAACTGGCACAATCACCGACTACCATGACGCGACGAAACTTTTCGCTTGTGCGAAAACAGGGAATCCAGTATTTTTCCCGATTTCGCGCTGGTCGCAAGACAGCCCAAGCCCAAGCTCGCCCATCTCAGTACGGCACCATCCAATACATCATCAAACCCCCGCTCCACCCCATCCTGCTATTCCTGACACACAGCCGCTCCCCAAATCCAATTCTCTGGAACCCGCTCTGCCTGAGCCTCTCCCTCACTAGCTTTCGAAACCTCCCTCGCTCTCCCTCACTCACAAGGTGGTCCCCTCCTACAACTTCCCAATCAGCCGCTACCGCCAATTCCAACGGTCGCGGTTCAAAACCGTGCCGATTGCGTGTGGGGATTGGTCGTCTCTATGCTTCCGTTCTCTCAATGCGTGGTTAGCCACGCATATTTTAAAACAGCAGCTCATCATCTCTCGCATTCCAACCTTCAAGGTTCTCCAATGCTAGGCCGACATTCTCCGTTATGCTCTTCAACCTCGGGAACTTCAACCTCTATCCGTTTAACTCGCCTTCTCGTCCACGGGTGGAACCTCCGCTGGTTCAACTGCAACCTGCACGGGCTGTCCGATCTTTACGACCTTCAGCTTCTGTCGTTGCAAGTCGGAGACTGTTGGAGATCCGCAAGCTGCGGAAGCATCCCGACTTCCTGCTCAAGGTAGATAAAGCCTCAGTTTCTCGATTTCGTGTTTATCCCGAGCTCAATGTTATTGTGGCTGCACATCGTAACTTGTACTAATCGAAGTTATATTTACATTGTGCAGAAAGGCGTGATGAAGACGTTCAACTTTGCAAGGCTTTCAGCCTTCGCTCTGCGGCACTCTTCACGACGGTGACAACACAACCGTTCAGCCTTCTCTGCTCGCATGTTTGACAATCTAAGTGCATCGGATCTCGCCAGCCTGAGTTCTTCACCAGCCTGCTGTCGAGCTTTCCAGCTAAGTGCTCCTTCCACGACTGTCGCAGTTTTCTTTTCCGCTTTCAGTTTCGTTCGTACTATTTATTTGTTTTCCAGCCAAAGCACCGCCCGTAGAGCTCCCTGTCTCCTCCCCTAGGTCCGCGTTAGTCTCTTTAGGTCAGTCTAGCGTCAGCGTCGCTAAGTCAAGCATAGCTGCGTCGGTTGTCTGAGCACTGCGGTGTGGTTGCTTTGGCTGGAAAACATTCCCCCTTCCCCCACATTACTTCGTCGCTTTTGTCGTTTTATGGCGTCCTCTCGTTACTTAAACTGACTTATTTTTTTGTTGCTGGCAGGTGCTCCTCTGATGCTTCTAACCAAATGGGAGCAGCCCAGGCAACACGGCTGGCGTTCAACAATACAAGACTAAGTGGATGAGCTCGAAGGCAACGCATGGAGGCAAGACGACAAGACAACTTTCAATCCAAGGATAGACAACTTGCAAGCCAAGATTCCGAAGAAGACTTAAGACATGCAACCCACGTGCAGATAAGTATCAATTTCCACCTTGTTCCGCTCAACTTCATTTCCGCTCATCACTGTTATTCATTTTCATGCCCACCATGCTTGAGCGCTTACCACAGCTGTTGCATGAACCATTCCCCCTCATATGGTATAGGTATTTTTTAAGGTACCCTTTTCTGGTGAGTCCTTAGGTTCTCTTCTGGTATTTTTTTGGTATTTGGTTCTTGTGGCTGTGGTGGTGAGCACTCTTGCTGCGTGCATCTGCATATCGATACATATCATTTATCATGCATATGCTTGCCTTTCCCGTCTGGAGGACCTTCCAGTGCCACTTGAACTTACCCCCCCTCCTCCCTCCTTTGACTGGCAGAGGCTCATCAACTCCATCAGCTGCAAGGCGCTTCAACACTTGAAGTCGACGTTCAGGTCTTGAAGCCAACACTTGGAGCCAATTTCAAGACTTCTTCAACTCAAGTCTTGAAGTCCACAACCTTTAACACTTCAAATGAAAGCTAAGTATTCCTCGACCTTGGCTTCTCTTTCGTTGTTTCCTGTTGGTCATGTTTTTGCTATTTCAGCCATCATCATTACATTTTCGCCTTCCATTGCATAGCATGTATGCTTGGGTGCACATCATTACCGCCACTTGAGCCTTCCCTGTTTTTTTTTTTAACAAGGTACTCTTTCTGGTGAGTTCTTCAGGTCCCTTAAGGTTCTGGTATATGGCTCTTGTGGTTGTGGTGGTGAGCACCCTTGTAACCATGCTACTGCACCCATCATGCATGCATATGTTTGCCCCTCTGTTTTTTTTACTGTCACTTGGTACTCATCGATCCCCCTCCCTTTCCTTCATTCGCTTTGCAGGTACCTCAACTCTGAAGGCCTTCAACAAATAACCACCACTCAGCATGTTCAACGTCCAAGCATTCGGGGATTAATCATTTCAAGCTTAACGATTGAAGGCTCTCAAGGTAATTATTTGATCCTTTGGCAGTTTTAATGTGTGGCACACTCACTAACATTCCTCTTTCTTCCTGCAGGAGCTTCAACATGTCAACAAACACTTTTCATTGAAGATAGTCAGGAGCCTGTAATCTGAAGTCCCAAGATTCAAGCTTCCCTTAAAAGGTGATGTTTTAATCTTTTGGCAGTTTTAATGTGTGGCACACTCACTAACTTTCCTCTTTATTCCTGCAGGAGCTTCAACATATCAACGGACACTTTCCACTGAAGATGGCCAAGCGTCTATAATATGAAGTTCCAAGATTCAAGCTTCCCTTAAAAGGTGACGTTTTAATCTTCTGGCAATTTTAATGTGTGGTACACTCACTAACTTTCCACTTTCTTCCTGCAGGTGCTTCAACATGTCAACGGACACTTTCCACTGAAGATGGCCAAGAATCTACAATCTGAAGTCCCAAGATTCAAGCTTCCCTTAAAAGGTGATGTTATAAGCTTTTGGCAGTTTTACTGTATGGTACACTCACTAACTTTCCACTTTCTTCCTGCAGGTGCTTCAACATGTCAACGGACACTTTCCACTGAAGATGGCCAAGAGTCTACAATCTGAAGTCCCAAGATTCTAGTATCCCTCGAGGTAACTTATTCATCTTTTGGCGGTTGAAGTTTGTGACACATTACTAATATCTTCACTTTATCCTGCAGGTATCAATCAAGAGATCTTCAATGGACTTGAGATCCAAGGCTTTCCAAGGTTCAACATGGAAGATCTTCAATGACAACCATCACTGAAGATGCTCAGCTCAGCAATCAAGGTATTTTTTTATCCTTTTAGCAGCTCAATTCAATGCTTACTGCATTCCTGCACACTCTGGCTGAGGACTGACTACTTTTTTGTCCTCCTGCAGGTAACTGTTAGAATATACAAATATATTCTTTATAACTGTCTGTAGTGTAGGCTGTAATGTATCTCACTTGCTCTAGGTGGAGCACACAATTGCCTTCTCCTAGGCTATATCTTGTATCCCTTTTCTCATATTGAATTCTCTTTGGCCAATCTCGTTCCTCCTTGCCTAAACCCTCTCGATATCCATCTCGCTATGCTCAAGCCTCCTAAGCTCCTAGCATAGTAACCTCCTTATCTCAACATGGTATCAGAGCAGGTCGTTCCTAGACCTTTTTTTTTTTACCCCATGGGCCCACCGCGTGTCCCTCATCTCACGGCGCATTTCACGCCCTCCGTCGTGACCGTCGCAACGGTCACGGCGGCGAGCTGTCCGCGGCCCGCTGTCGCCTGCCCCGTCACGCGACTCGTCGCGCCTTCCCGTCGTCGCCCCCGTCGCCTGCCCGTTTCGCGACAGAGGTCCCCCGTTCCCTCCCCGGTCGCCCCACCCATGCTCTCGCTAGCGCCAACCGCGCTTGCGCCTGCTGCCATGTTCGCGCCAAGTGGGGGGGTTGGCGGACAGTGGAGGGGAGGCAGCGGGAGTGGCGGAAATGTTTCTGCCGCGAGCGCATCTGCTGTGCCAACTGCTGCCGCCCCCGCTACTGCTGTCCTGGCGGGTATGCCGCAGTGGGGGGGAGGCAGCGGGAGCAGCGGCAATGTCTCAGCAGCCGCGTCACAGCAACTG